GCTGCGGACTGCTCGGCACCGAGGTGGAGAGTCCGGCGTACTCCAGCGCTGCCAGCGATTTATCCACCGGACTCCGCTTCAGGTACTCCGATATATGCTGCACGATAAGATCGATGGCCACTGAAACATGTAAACATTTTATAGTTAAAATTCTGCTGTAAATAAATATTGCTGATAGTGCACACATTCAGTTAGAATCGAACAAAAGAAATGTATTATCTATGACATCATTTAGAGTACTAGCTCCGATTACGATACTCAGCTGTCATTGATGGTTATATTTTATAGTAGGGTTGTTGGGAGCGTGGACTGTAGGATGCTGGTAAAATATTATAAACACTATTTCTAGAACAGTCATTATTTTTAAATAATTTATAAATTACACTGAGCAACGTATGGTATGTGAATTGTGGACGAAACCAGAGAGAACAAATCCATAGTGCTGCCCTGTGACGTAGAACGTGAAATAGTATTTCACGTTCTGGCTACCCAGCAAATAGTTATTTTAAATGTGAGTCACAGGGTAGCAGCAATTTTTTAAAAGATTACAATAACAAATGGACAGACCCTAGGTAGCCGTCTTTTATATACATGAAAATTACCACAGACATGTCATAATGTGATAGATCGTGGTATTTATGCATTTCAATTCTTGGGGGCTAAAATATCATGCCTCCATATCCAATAATTTCACTACCTTTTCCAATCCATCATCCAATCAACATAGCTTATAAAGCAAGCTTACGCCAGATATAATTAGGCTCTTAAATAGTTGTTTTGTAAATAAAAATGCGTGGTAAGGTGGCAAACACTTTATTTACTTGCTTAATTAAAATTAACAATAATACAGATTCAATAAAACAAAATGCTTTGTCTCATAATACAGAAAAATACCAGGAGATACATATAAAAAATTGTATACTCACAGTGGGTACGTACTAGTGGAAAACGTTACAGTTTCGAATGAGTAACTCTCATTGAAACATGATAAAATAATATAATTATTAATTACCACAAAATATTTTTAGTGAGTCGTAATGTTTATAAAAATATTAAATTTATGACGGTCGATGTAGTAAGGAACGTAATTAGTTTCACACCTGGAATTTCATTATCTAACGAACGCTGTTGTAATTATATCTCATTTTAAATAAATTACAATTCAAATTATTGTGATTACGAATGCATGAACCAATTGCCAGTTGACGTTGCGAACCGTACAACTCAGTCTGTCTACAACAGTAAAATATCTCATATAGAATTTCTTCTTTCAGTTTAAATTTTATGACTATAAGAAGGGATTGGAACAGTGTCACATCATTAGGTCCAATTACGCTGTTTCCGGACATTTTATACTCTTAAATTGTTATCTAGCAACATATGAGTTCTATATAGAGTATATACAGAACCAACTAATTTATTCAGTTTCAACTACAATATATTACGTTTTAAAACTATCATATAAAAATTATTGAAATCAATATTGAGATTAAACTCCAGAGTGAATCTACAGATCCCTTATTAGTACTTCGATATCACTAAAAGTCAATTCAAACATATTGTAACCAAATCTTGTTATAATATATAAATATACTAAGTTACATATATCTCTCTTCATAAAAATATTTTGTGGCTTTTATAATATATAACATGTTTGTGCGTACAAAAAATCCATTACAAATATATAATATTGAGTCAGTAGGAATACAAAATCTTCATGGACTCCCATAAAAGTTGATTATAATAAATCGAATTTATTCATAACACTAACATTTACGATATATTTTTGTAAACATCATTATATATATTCAATTTCATGATAACTACCACAATTTATCACATTCAATGATTGGAATTTAATGGGGCATCCGTATCTTTAATTCGCATTAAATACAAGCTTTAATCTTATAATATCAATCTATATTTATTTTTTAACATAATGGGACATTATATTCTACAACGACATCCAATATAAATGTTTATCTATATATATAAATAAAATTGGAGTGTCTGTTTGTAATATTGAAATAACCGTTTTTTACTACTTGCATATAAATATAAATACGGTACATACACCAAATTAACATTTATTACAATTTTTGTCTGTCTGTCGGTTTGTTCCGGCTAATCTCTGAAATGGCTGGACCTATTTTGACGGGACTTTTTTTGGCAAATAGCTGATGATATAAGGTGTCACTTAGGCTACTTTTCTTTTTGAAAAATATTTTATTTCAGGAGGATGAACTTAAATTCCACGCGGACAAAGTTGCGGGAACAGCTAGTCTAATATAAGCTAGTTTTGCGAGAAACAGATGCCCTTCAATTTACTTTATTACAATATGGCTTCTATATTTTTACTAAATGACATAACATTAGTGTACACAGGTTCAGTCATAAAGAATATACCAAGACAAAAGTAAAATACTCATAAATCTAAACAACATTTAAGAAACAAAACAAAACAATACATAATATTAAAGTCACGTGAATACTTAGTTTGTGTGAAGGTTTTAAATATAATTTTATATGTATTTATTAATGGCAGCTTCAGTGATCTAGCGGTCTACTATGCTGACTTCGGATCGTCGCTGGTTCAATTCCTTATAATAATAATAATAATAATAATCTCAGGACAATTCACACAGCGCCATCTAGACCCAAGTTAAGCTAGCTAAAGCTTGTGTTATGGTTACTAGATAGCTGATATATATACATAGATTTTTTTGTAAATGCATACATAGGAAACACCCAGACCAATACAAACAATCATACTCATGAATACAAATGTTTGTGCCTTGCGAGGAATCGAATCCGTGACCATCGGTCGTAAAGCGGTGTGCTAGACCGCTAGACCACCGAGGTCGTCAAATAATGAATAATACCGAAATGTTATACAATGCACACATTACTATTCAGGAGTATGATTCTTTGTATAGCTCTAGGTCTTCTATGTATATTATGTATGTATTTACAAAAAAATATATTTTAGTATTTCTATCAATTGTCCAGTATCCATAACAAGCTCTGTTTAGCTTAGGCCTAGATGGCGCTATTTAAATTGTCTAGGGTTACTACGACTTCTCAATTTGCTTCTTTATTAATCTCGTTCAGTTTCAATGAAAACTATCACTAGCTTTTGTTTTGATATATCTTTTACCACTAAGCCTGTACAATATGGGACATGAAAAGGAATTAGTCTTCTTACTTGGAATCAGTCTATACTGGATATAAACTTAATATTTGGAACTCGATTTGACCAATGTCACAGTATACAATGTCACATAAAAGTACATAATGAATAAAAAGTGACAATTGTCACACTTACACTCTAATTTAATAAAACTGAAAATCAAATCTAAACTACAACAAAGCTATATTAACTATTTTAGTGTTTTATAATCTGTCACTATTCTTCAAATTAAGAATAAAAAAAACTTGAAATAAAGAACAAAACACTGCAATAGCTAAAATAGATGTTAATCGTTAAATTACACTATACATTTCTATGAATAAACTAATAATTCTAATACACTTTATGAGAGAATTAACTTCTAAATTTGAATTGACAAATATTATATTTTATTTATATTGTAATGTAAGGCTGTATGGCTTTGTTCCTTTGCACTTGCGGTAAGATAAAAAATATTACTACTAACATTATTATACAATAATATATGTGTGTAAAAATTAAGTTATGCATACATCTAGACTTAAATAGTTTGTTTTATGTGTATTAAGTTATGTACTATGTAAGACATCCAGTTTTGTATAATGTACTCAACTAAGGAGAATGCATTTAACAAAATACAACACTATAATGCTACAGTAAATGATTTCATAATAATTCCCAACTATTATGAGTGTTGCGCTTCAACATATTTTAAATGCATAATAGTATACTTAAATATAAACAGAACAAATTGACATAAATCCTTAGCATTATAGAGCGCGTTTCCTGATACCGTCTTGTTGTGGTTTATTTTAATAGTCAATAAATATATTTACTTATTTTACATCTCAAAAGCTATACAGATTTTAATACGGACTGTACGCAACTATCCAAATACAAACTATAATCAATATTTAATATCATAAAATTGAAAAAAAAAAAATACACAGAAAATTCACTGCAATGACATATATATATAAGATTCAATTTTGAATGGAGTCGTTAGCAAACATTCACTTCTAGCAAATGAACTTTACCATATAACTATAGCGGTTAATTCTTGATAAATTTATCCGTAATTTGAAACAGACCTCATTAAAAAGTGATATGTTGGAAATTATTCGTATACGCGGACCGGTTTTAATTACATTTAAATATTACTTGACATATTCTCGTTTTAATACAAATTCAATTAAACGCATTTGTTGAATGTGGAAGAAATACATCAATTATACAATAAATTACTGTAAATACCTTCTATAAATATAAAAAATAAACCCCGTTTTGATACAGAATTTGTGCTAAAAAAATGCAAAGTCAGTATAAATTCGAAACATTGGTTAGAATTCTGTTTCAGTACTATATAAACACTATGCAATATATAAATTGATGTAAAAGTATTATAACTTGGTAACGGAGGAGAGAGATACAGGAGTGAGTGAGAGGGACATACATAAGTTACACCTTGGTAACAGGAGTGAGCGAGAAGGACATAAGTGTTGTCTCTTACACCGCTCTTTCAACAAACACCTAATATTCATTCAAACATGTTTTATCTTTACATAATATAAAACGAACTCGCTTCCGCTGTCTGTTCGCTTATATCTTTTAAACTATGCAACAGATTTTAATGCGGTTTTTTGCAATAGATAGAATGATTCAGGAGGAGGGAGGAGGAAGGAAGAAGGAAGGTTTATATGTATAATACATGACGGTGACATTTACTATTGAATTGATCATTGATTAGTGCATTCATATGGAGAAGAAACTCGTGTTATATTCTGGCCACGTGTCACGTTGTTCTGTTCTGTAATACGTCAGAACACGTCAGACTATATAAACAAAGTTCAAATTTGTTTACGAGCTAAACAATGCTCTATACAAGTAGTTCTCTTAGCAAATAAGGAGTACGGGAAGAACGATCTTTCGGTCGCTTTATCTAAATATATGTTTACAAATTAAATCATATTTATCTTACAATAGGGTATACAATTCCTAAACTACGCAGCTTCAGCCTTATAAGTAGATATACAGGAAAACTAGTACTAAATAAAGTAAATACGTAAAATTACATTCAGTGGATTTATTTTATATGTTGGGTATTTCTGCATTTGATGACAATTTAATTTAACACACATTTATAATTAAAAAGAAACATTACATATATTTATATTATACATTTTTGTCTGAGACATATATTTTTTGTACGGTATTTAAAAATGCATTGATTTATTAAAGACAATCACAATATAAAATAGTGTATATTAATAATCATAAAATTGAGGCATAATGTATTCTATGTCGTATGACTTTACGAGATAAATTCGAGTACATTCCTAGTAGGAATAGTGATTTGCTACATGAGATGACTTTATTTCTTACTTGCAACACCTCCCATCTATTTTAAAAAGGTAAATCGATATTTTTTATAGTCAAATTGGAATGACCTTTGATATTTTTATCAATAAAGTAAACTTAAGTCATTCATATTAAATTTACATTTAATATTAAGGATGATGCAAAAATTGCTACGTATATATTTCAATATATATCTCGGTAGCTCACATATATATATATTATTAGTGGAATCCATATAACACAAAACGTTTCGTACTTAAAATAAAATACATTAGTATACCTTACAAAAGCTACTACAGATAGGAACAGAGGTACTTTCCGCACCTCTATGGTCACCATAGACTATCGACTAAGTGTGTCCTCCGAACTGCCCGACATCCTCCTGCCATTGGTGCCATCTTCTTCATGTGTGCCATTGCAGGTGCCGTTTGGTATAATCTTGTTGAGCGACGGTCTCTTCTTATACATTATATCCCATATATGATGCACGATTAAATCAATAGCCACTGCAACAACGGAAAACGGGTCTTATGATCGATTCGCATAAGGTGCTGATTGTTTTAGCAGCTACATAAGAGCATAGCCGCTGCAAGAAGTTTTTTTTTTAATAGAATATTAACATGTGATTAAGGACCTCGTTGCAGTGGCTATGATCTTCTGTGACTTACCTCGATTTGTCATAACTTTTATATAAATATTGAATACTGTTAGGATTACCGCCGCTTTGTTGCACTTGTACATATTTTATTTGTCAATACTTATATAAGTAATAGAAAATTATAATATGCGTATAAGTATTGTCCAAATAAAGCGTTTTCTATATATAATACTTTGAATAAAAGATTCAATAGATCGATTAATGAAAAATCGACTTTATTGTAACATACAATAATGGCGATTTTTCAAGAAACTATATAGTGATTGAATGCAAATTCAATATACAGCAAATAAACGATGTCTTCAAAAATATATTGCATTAACAGAAAAAAAATATTTAGGGCAGTTAGCATATGCAAAATCAGGAAAATATTGTTATTCCGTAATTATTTGGATAACCCGTTGCAAATTATAGAAAATGCTCGCCGTAGGGCCCAATGTTTTTTACTCTTATATAATTCACAAAATACCTAAGTAGTATTGCATGGCTTTCGGGCTAAGATCTTTCCCACCCTTTATATCTGTAAAAATTTTCTTTCGTCCGTCTCAGCTGTTGGACGGACAGGTACTATTAGACTCCTATTCACTAGAATAGAATGGCATTCCTTTTCGCCATAGCGGGCAACCGCTGCCGGGGTCGTGTTCGAGCTAAACAAGATCCCGCGACTCCGGCCGCGGTTGCGCGCAAGGGGACAACTCTTCATAGTTCCCCCGCCTCCGCCCACCGTGGGGGAGACGCACCGGAATCTAGTTTGAGTATATCTCGGCTCCTGCTATGTGGACGACAGAGTTCAACAAGCGTTTACCACTCTAACATAGAATTAGGTAAAGTTAAGTTCGTCACAAAGAAACAAATCGACTGATCGTCATGGACGCATGTCACCTATGGGCCTATGATGTCAGCGTCGTGTGCCTATTTCAGATGATATTGTACATTATATTGTTAAATGGCCGTTCCACACATTTTAACATAAAATAGCTTGAGGCTTACGAGATTAAAATAAAACCCATAGATATAAAAGCATAAAAGACTACACACAGAAAATAAAACTAGAAAGGATATTCTTTCTCTTCATAGGTTCTTAGGTTCTTTTTACCGGCTACCAGAAAATAGAATTTTCTTTTCGAGACGTAAGGTTGAAACTAGTGATATATTCAGTTAAGCATTTCCAAAACCCTCATAATATTGTTGTACCTATCAAATATGTACTAGCAGACTACACAAATGTTTTTGCCATATAAATTAAAGTACTACCTATCGTTATTAAAAAAATAAGCTTAAATTGGTAGAAGATAGAAAATATAATGTATCATAAAAGAATTTAAAAAAATGATGGTCCACAAAAAAAACTGGGTCGGACCACACATAAAATTTCATAAGAATCGGCCAAGCCATATCGAAGGAGTTTTATTACGAACACTTTGACATGAGAATTTGATATATTAGAGGATGCGTATTTATTTTATATTACAGATATAAAAAAAGACTTTCGATCGATTACTATATTTTTACATAAACATTCAACCCAAATGCAGTAAAAGTTGTTTCCTACCGACACGGTTTTACGAGTCACGCAACTGAGCATGCACGCGAAGAATGTGTCGATAAATGCAAAACATAATGTTTTGCATTGCAGTCTTGCTGCTGAATAAAATCAACGTATCAAAATCAGCGAGATTGTCTTCAAAACCCTAAACGTAAAGTTAACTTAGTGTGTATCATCGATAAAAATCGGATATGTCGAAAACAAATATTAAACATTCACATAAAAAAATATAACAAAAAGAAAATATTAAGGCGTAAGTTTAGAACATGTTTACAAGCGTAAAGTGGACTCACTACCAATGTAGGTACCTCAACAAAGTGTTCAGAGACATGTTTTAGCGCCTAGTGGGTACTGCAGCCGGATTGAGTTGTTCTTTAAGGTGTCTACAAACGGTGTGATCTCATATGAGTAGAATAGATGTATATGTAGACACCTACATATACATCTATTCTACTCATATATAATACTGCACTCGCTAAACATAATCGTGGTATAAAGAGACAAATATAACAAACATACCCTATTCCAATCGACCTTCGTGACAACTCATCAATTTGTCACAAAATCGTTTTGTATACATTTAATTTATGCCATGAAGTAGCACTCATGAAATCCGTATTCGAAATTCAAAAACATGTCAAAAAGTTCCTATTTCAAATATTTAAAAATAAACAGTAATATCGTTATCGTAAACAACTTACCCAAGTTGTCTGCTCCTCTGGGGATGATGACGTCAGCAAACTTCTTAGTCTGAAAGTAAGATCATATTATTACTACCACAGTTCTACACATCGGGGAAGGAGGGTAGAGATAAGAGTGAGTAATCTGTTCCCCTAGTGTCATTGAATTATAAACACAATTAATTTCTTTAGCGAGCTAGCAGCAATTTTAATAAATTATCTAAAATTGTTAATTTGGATTTATTTTCTAATAATATTAAATCAGCGAGACACCAACTAAGTATATTTAATTATATTCTTTGAATATTAGATAATTATTATTGAAGAATCTGTACATGTATATATTGTATAAATTCATTATTTGTTACTGTACTGTACTGTTGTTATCCTATTAGTTTTATAATGTGTTGTTGCCTTTATATGTAGTGATGTTGAATTTCCCATAGTTAATCTGTTGTTATTTGTGAAAACCTGTCAGTGGCTTATTGTGTTTTTTATATTGATTCAATATGTGTATAGTTAGCTTTGGTTTTCATTTAATAAATAAATAAAAGTAATATTAGGTCGACCTCCACGCGGTGATCTATTTATTAATTATTATGTATATATTTACTTCTTAATAGAGTGTACTACATATAAACAAATATATACTAACCGCTGAATCTGAATTCCACAGAAACAAACATAATAAATCTACTACTACTACTCAATAAAACTACTAACTACTTCGATACACTTACCGGTAAACAGAATTCTTCAAATGCCGGCTTTACAAAATTCATATACTGATTGAGTACTTGCTCCAAATCACGGCCGCGCTCCATTATGTCTCGTGGCACTGCAAGATTTTAGAATTATATATATACGAGCTGTGCCCGCGGTTTCAGCTGCGTGAAATTTATAGCCTATATGTTATCCTGATGTATAAGCTATATTACTATAATATATTTAATATTATTAAGATTAAGACTCTTACACCATTATTTATTATTAAAATAAAGTTAAACATTAACAGTCCCCCGCGACTATATAAACGCATACTTTCATCTCGTCTCAGAATATTTTTAAAGATAAAAGGTACCCTATATCTCTCCTCATAATATGTCAGTTTCTTGAATGTCCATGTCAAAATAATAGACATAGAAACACTCTTTCGTATTTATAAGTATTTTAGCACTTTTGTCATCTCTTGAAACTTGAAATCGGCTTCAGACATAACCATATCTATCACAGAATACAATAATGAATATAATATATACGAAAATATTTCTTTACCATATTGTACCCTACAAATATTATAATAGTAGGGGTATAGGATCTTATCATCCTCCACTGGTGCCTTATCAGCGTATACCGTTAGCGCAGGCGGGTGCGCCATTCCATTATTATTAATAATGGAAATATATTACAATAGTAATAATAGCCCTGGACAATTCACACAGCGTCATCTAGTTCCAAGCTCAGCAGAGTGTGAATATGGGTACCAGACAACTTAGGCGGTGTGCTAAACCACTAAACCAGGGGGGAAGGGGATTGTTAGTAATTTGAACTCATGACCCCATTAGTAGCAATGTACAATGTCAGGTTGACCTCCACGCGGTGCCCCCTGGAAACCATCATGATAAACTCCAGGTAAATTTGTTATGATGGGCTAATTGACCTGACCTCCTGTTCATCTTATCATCCTCCACTGGTGTCCCGCCAGCGTAAACCGTTAGCGCAGGCGGGTGCACCATTCTATTATCAGTTAAAAAAAACCGCTAAACCGCCAACTTATATATACAGACTGTAAGGGACAGGTTGACTAAATCGAAAACAGCTGATTCAGAAGATAGCCCAAGAGCCCACGACGGCCAGACATATGTCTTATTAGTAAATGTGAAAGTTCTTGCTCTACGAGTGGTCTGAATCAGAATAAAAGAAAATAATCAAGAAATATTATTATGATCTAGAAACCTTCGGCAGCGAATTGTTGTAAATTGTAATAAGATTTAACTGTAATGATTTTAAAAGAAGAGTATGTACAGTTACCCACCAAAATTAATTTGTTTTATGTGAAGCGGGCTTACACATGCCGCAGAAACCTGTGTGGCGGACTGAATATCACTCAGACTTATGATTTATAAGTCGACTGCGTGCGTACTTAAGTTTCATCTATTTTTGCCGTCAAGCAGCATTCTTTTTATAAGCTTTGTTTCGGTTGTAAACATGACACTCTGTTTCTAGTTCTCTAGAATGGCGATACATGCGGTGCAGTGCTGTTCATGTATATTGACAGTTACCGCTTACCATCAGGAGGTCCTACAGATTTTTTGGTAATCCAATTACATATAAAAAAAACTGATTAGTAACTATTAACTAACCTCATTTAATAATAGTGTTTATTGTAAGTGAAGATAATGATAAAACTGCATTACCTCTCCTGGCGAGCCTGGTGTCAGAGTCTGTATCTACGAAGAGTTTCATGTGAAACAGTTCCCGCACCTCAGGGAAGTAGAATACTAGGATGCCTTCAATCAGCACTACATCCGCTGGGTAGATTGTGTGCGAGCGATGTGGGCTATGGAATTACACATTGCATTAGGGGCTATTCATAAATAAGCATAATTGCATTTTAACACTTCTCACCACTGTAATTGTTCATTGGCCACTGAGATTAGTAAGATTCACCCTCTCTAGTTAAGATTACATCTCCCGAAACCCCTTGTAACATAATGTCACACTTAATTGAAAAATAATAATAATAATCTCAGCACAGCGTCATCCAGACCCAAGTTAAGCTAGCTAAAGCTTGTGTTATGGGTACTATAACTGATACAAATGCATAGTTTTTTTTCCGTAAAGACACATAGAAAACAGCCAGACAATCATACCCATACAATCATACATTCATGAATCGAAATGTTTGTGCCGTGCGAGGAATGGAACCCGCGACCATCGGAAGTAAGGCAGTGTGTTACACCGCTAGACCACCGAGGCCGTCTGTTCTACGTCTATCAATAGAAATCACTTTTACTGAAGTCAGCTCGTGACAATGACAAGTGCAATTTAGTAAAAATATCAGAGAGAAAGTACTGGAAATACCTTTAATTACCATAAAATTATTCCTTATAAACCCATTTAACAATTAAAAATTCTTTCACAATTATAATGTTACATTATCCCTGAGTAACATAGGCTATATTTATTATCATTATAGGCTATTTATTACTCAGTCTTCTTGTAGTGAGTATGCATTCTGAATGAGTGGAGAATAAAAACAATATGACTATTACAGTTGTAAGAAGCACTAATTATGATGGACGACTGAGGCTTTGAAGCCGGCTACCGCAAGGGAAACCCCAAGTAGCGCCCGTGACTTGTGACACGGGTGTAGGTTTAAAAGGCCCTTTTAGAATGCATTAACACTCACCTTCACTACTTGCAGGTTTCCCCCAGGCCCAACTAAGACCGGGATAAACCCATTTCTAATACAATTCACTTTAGTATCCAAAACACAACTGGTACGCTCTGCGCTCGTCGACTGAATGCCGCGGCTCACGCAACGAAAGAGGATTATTCAACTACCGACCTCCGTATTAATAGACTAAAGTCAGTGTAATAGGTTGGTCTATAAATACTAGATGGCGCTATTTACAATATTCGTAATAATCTTTACGTTGGGTACTTCATTAGTACTAAAAAAAACTACATTTTAATATATTTTTAAAATATCGGAGTTTTTCTACAATAATGATGTGAATTCTAACACAGTGCTTATATTAAATTGGAATAAAGATTATTTTTATTCCATTTCTGTTTGAAGCAAATATGATTCCGTAATAATACTTTAAAAATGTAATCCAAATATCCAAAAATTAGCCACAAAATGTCTTTAATCACATCTGTGGAATTATTCAAAGTTCAGACAGGCCACTACCACCTATTATTAAAAAAAATAACACTCACTTGATAGAATTTGTGATGTAGTCATATTCTGGCACCTCAACCTTCTTTCCAGCCAGGATATCTTTCAGTACTGCCAGAAGATTCTTGTCGTCAAAAGCGTCAGGATGGTCAAAATTGAACTGTCCTCTCTCCGCCCGGAGTCTTTCAGACGGTGCAAGAGTGCGGTAAAATGAGTCCTGGCTGATGCACACTACTCGTCGCTCTGTCTGTTCTTTGTGTTGCTGGCCCAGCTTTTCCATGATGCGTTGACATACTGTTGACTGCAGAACAAGACATCAGCATTAGCTATTTTCAAACAGCCTCGGTGGTCTAGCAGTTTAGTACACCGATGGTTACGGGTTTGATTCCTCGCACAACAAAAACAATTGTATTCATGAGTATGATTGATCGGTCTGAGTGTTTTCTAAGTATAATATGTATGTATTTACGAAAAAAAATCTATGTATTTGTATCAGTTATCTAGTAATAAACATAAGCTTTAGGTAGCTTAACTTGGGTTTAGATGGCACTGTGTAAATTGTCCTGATGATCATTATTATTATTACTATAGGGATGATTCTTTTCCTTGCAATCGGTCATTATTTTTATGGCCATTTATGCTAGTGTCATGTATCAGAGGCATGGATTGGAGACATAAAATATATCCTAAAGTAAGATTATTAATTCCAGTCAGTAAAATGACATTTCCAGTGTTGTAGGTTTTTAGTCCCAAATAAATAGTGATGTGGTAGAATCGAGTTTTTACAATTAAAAGTTAGTCGAGATTACATTTTTTATATTCAATATCAATTTGCCTTTATATAAATAAAAATTCTAGTATTAATTTCTCTGAATCTCTTTTTACATTTTTTCCCAGCTTTTGTAATAATGTTATAGTGAGAAATTTTAATATGCTGGTAAGCTCCATATTTCTAAAATCATATTATTTAATATGATATGTATTAAATATTAAAAATAAAAAAAAAGTTTTTGATACCTAATAAAATAAAGCATGACTAAATGTCTAAGTCTATTGATTGCTGAACATCACTATTGTCATCTATGGTCACCCTTTTTTGTATCAGTGACAGTTGCACTTGTCATTTTACTGACTGGAATTAATAATCGTACTTCAGGGAGGAGATAGTAATAGAGGCTAGTGGACCCATTTATAGCAATGTATCACGTCAGGTCAAATTCCATGTGGGCATCACTCATTATTTTTTTGTGAATTTTGCCATTATGAACTGACCTGACTTCATGAGCATCTTATCCTCCTCTAGTGTTCTGCCAGTTTATAACCATCAGTGCAAGTGAATCCACCATTTCATTATTTTATTTTAAAACCAGCTAATGTATAATAAAGGGGATTCACATCAATCACAACATATCCCAAAAATATGAAATTAAATATTAATAAATCTGATTGATAAAATTTGTAATTATCTATATATTGTACTGATCTTATGGCTATAATAAGGTGGCAGATAGAAAGAACAATAAAATTAAAAAAATCAACATTGTGGAAGGCTTCTATACTAATATTATAAACGAGACATATTTAATTATAAATAATAATTTTTACCCCAAGTACTCAATAAAGAACAAATAATAGTTATAATAAATGGGTCCATATGATAGGAAATTTCTAGCATCTAGCGCAATATGTCAGGTGTGGACCTGACATATTATCCTATCAGCGCGGCTAGTTCCAGGTAACGCCAGTTTCCGCCGTTGCGGGCTAACGGACTGGTTATCAATACTGTAGTAATAAGCTGATGGAAGCGCACGGGTGTATCATTAACAATTACAAAAAGTACTGATGAATAATAGCTATAATTATAGTATACCGTCCACAGACCACTGTAGTTAGGTATGAATGTGCCGCAGAAAAGAATTTTACCTGGGAGCCTGTATTTACAACTTAAAGCAGATAAAGATATATAAATATTTCAATTGGTTCGTTACGTAACTAAAGAAAAATCAATAATTTGTAACACGAATTTGAGGTTACCTTGCCACTTGCAGTTCCTCCAGCTACGCCGATAAGAAATGGAGTCTTATTTTCTATATTATTTGCATGTGTAAAATCCACAGGTTTATCCGCCATTTTAGCACTAATTATAGACCTATAAGATGCAAGTAATGATAAATAACCACGATAAGCAGTAGGAATATTTCGGGAAATTCGAAACATTAAAAATATACAGACTATACGTCTGTTTTCATTTGCTTTGCCTTGTTTTCACCAAGTCTATTATTTTTTATCTGCCGGATTCTAGTCTGTGCCAAGCGATGCCGATCTTGACATTAACAGTTAATATCAGTGTTGCAATAAAATAACTACTTTTCCTCTTTCCTCACATTTTATTTTTTGTATATGGAGAGCGATTTCAATATTTATGTTTTATTCGGTACGACACAGAATACATGATATATATAAAAATAAAACATGGTAAGTTAATATGGGATTCACTATTTCATTTTTCACGATTTTCTTTTAACTGTATACTTTTTTATGGCGATCCAGGTTCTCTAAGAAAGTAATTTCGTTTGTTGTTTTGGTAATAATAGTAGGTTGTGTGTTCAAGTCGTCAAATATGTAATAAATGTACATATTTATACATTCATAAAATGTTGTAAAAAATTTAACTCCACATTCGTCAACTTGATATAGGGTACAAAATTATTCGAATTAAATTAATTTTTTACATTGTATTATATTATATATCATATATATGACATTATAAAAGATTTATAGTATCAGAGTAATTTATAACACCTGAGTTTTAATTTGGAATTTCAATAATACAAACATCATTTGACAGTATGCATATTTATATATTTATGGAATGTACCTACATACATTCGAGAATTTATTCGAGATTACTTATTTTCTATTAGGATGTACAAACATATTTAAAATATTTCTTACATCAAAATAGAGTAAACATGTAACATTCATTTAACATACAAAAACAAATAGTAAAATATTAATAACGTGTTTTCCTATTATGATGTTAATAGAAATATAAATTTATTATATTCATCACATTTCATCACAATAGAATCACGTTACATTAATTAAACATTAATAAACAGTGCATGGAATAGATATATTTTTAACATTTTATATTTATTTCTTGAACAGTCCACTTTAACTTGGCCTTCAACAACAGATTTAAACAGTTAGGTTTCTTAACTTCTGGTCTGCTTGTCTCAATGCGGTGGCCATGTCGAGTTGTGTGACTCTAAGTCGTGCCCACACTAAGTAATCCTGGAGACCGATTATTTGAGCGGCGATGAGAGCTGCACTCTCCGGGTAAATAACTGTGGCACAGCCGAGTCCCGACGGCACTGATAGAGATGACCAGATGTCCTATAAGGTAAATAGACAAGATTTGTAACTAATTACATTAATTTGAATATGTCGAATAAAAGTAATGCTTCGGCGATGGAAATAATAGCAAGATCCCATTTTAATTCAAAATAATTGAATTCAATATAATTTACTCTGATAAACTACTTTCATCACGACACATAGTCTTAGTTTCTAATAAAAATGACGCACCTGAACTAATTTATCAGAGGGCGGTGGGCAGTTGATGACAGGGTAAGAAGTGTTCCCAGAGAGCACGGGACCCAGACCGTTAGATCGTCCAGCAACGGCGATGAATACCAGGGCGCCATGGGTGTCTTCGTACTGCTGCATTATTCGCAGAGTCTCCTCTGTAGCCTTATGAGCTGATGTGATTCGCAGATCGACGTTAAGTCCAAGATCACGACCAGCTATATAATATCAAAAATAACATAAGTAATTTTACAATTATAAATTTGTATGAACTATATACATGCACAATGCACGTCGCGTTATTATGCGACGGCCGTTATAGCACTCCTGCATTTCACTCCGTTGGACTAAAATATCATATTTCTGTACCCTGTGAATTCAATTTTTAGGCTGCAGAAGTCTTAAATGAATAAATACTTTGAGTTTCAATTTGCTATAAGATTAACAAGTTTAACATATATTAATATTTGGAAATATTATGTATTTATCATTAACTAGAGTAATGAGAGACAACAAATCTTACCTTTAGCGATCTTCTGGCAATGCTCTCGATCTGCTGGCGAGCCCATGAACACAACCACTTTGTGATGAACATTAGGTTTCAAGTAGTCCAATTGGTCTTTCACCCACGTGAAGTTACGTTTCACTGTGTCTAGGTCTGCGGCGGTTACAGTAGATAAGTTTCTGTATACCTGAAACCATTAATATCCTAATATGAATCACTACTGCCCAATTTAGGCCACCAATTAGGACTCATTCCCTATAAGAAATTTATATCTGGGAGTGTATTCATAATAAGGAATCGTGAAAACATAACAAGGCCAACGTCTGTTTATTAATCCTAAATCCTCCAGTCATCTCACATAAATGGACTGAAGGTTTTTATTTATGTATGTTTTATTTATTGTTGTTGGTAGATTATTATCAATAGATAGGGTCTAACGAAGGGCACAAATAGTATGTAACTAAAATATTTGTAAGAAACTGGTCTAAATACAATAAAGATGCCTAATTATTAGATACGGATTGAAGAGTGGAATTATTAATTTCAGATGGTACTGACCTGTTTATCTACCATTAGTCTTTTGTCTCCAGAAGGCCATAACCTCCAAGAGTCTGAATCAATCACGTCGGCTAATAGAATGTTTCCTGTAAATAGCAAAAATTTAATTAATTTATTTATAATTGACAATTTACGATGGATAAAGCATAGAGATCGTTATGACTATTATACCACATATGATAAACATTGGCATTTCTTATGTAGTAAACGCATCTTGACATGGGAAAATCGCATCGTTCCGTAATTTTGAAACCAAAGTGGCAAGGGGCAAGCCTACCGTCGTCGCTTGGAGTCAGTTAAAAATAAATATAAATTACCACACAATTTCATTTTGTTGGTATCGCCTTGATTTGAATTGACGAACGTTCTAACGGCTAGTAAACCTAGACTATGACGTTCTTAAATTTTCTAAAATATATACATAATGTACTGATTTTGTATATATTGTATGTTCAATGGCATGACATACCATTAGAATCGACTCCAAATTCTATTTTCATATCAATTAGCGCACAATCGCGAAGAGCCCAAGCTTTTTCTAGAATCTCAAAGACGAGGATAGTAGCTTTTCTCATGTAATCCACTTCATCTTGACCTGCAATAAGTAAATAATCAACGTTATAACATTGTCTATGTTCCTGGATTAAACTTATCTTGTAGTGGGGACAGATAGTTTTGTTCCCAAAACTTTTAATTTACAAACTTGCAGAAAATTTTGACCACCCCTTTTTATCAAACAACAATATTTACCCTAGACAATAAATACCAACCAATAAGAAGTCCGTTGATATTAAACTTGGCTGCAACGATTTGCTCCTCGGACCACTGAGGGTCGTGGTTTGCATCATCCTTGAAAAATGTCTCTTGTTTCGGTGGGGTGAAACGGTAACCTTCTGGTACGCCGGGATTTCTCTTTAAGAAAGAACCTGTGGCCAGTCTACGAGTTACCCATTCTATCGGGATCATTTCACATTTTTTAGATATGAATGCGGTTGGTGATGCCAATTTGACATACGCAGTTTTGAGACCTGAAATAAATGATTTTACTTTAAAATGTAGCTCATGTACTCAGTGATCGCGAAATAACTTTTTTCGGATAAGAATAACAGGTATGTTAAAGATATCTACAAAGTATTTTGTTGAATTGTATATAATGAAGTTTTGAAGATACAACAGTTTATTGAAACTTTCAAAGAGGGGAGGAGATTGTTAGTAATAGTGTTCCCATTGCAATCATGTCTGGTCGACCTCCATACGATTTGCTCTGGAAACAATCGTGATCAATGCGCTAACTGATCGGACTGTAATCCTCATTCACAGATGCTCAGCCGCATATCGTTAGCACAGACCATTGTGCACCATTCCAATTTCATTCAACAAAATTAGCAGTTTTGTAAATAGGTCTTAGTACGTAACACCTAATTATAGAACTGAATAATCCAGCTATTACCATAGTAAATTATTAGCTATAGAATTACAGAATTTATACACTGATCTGTGTATTCTCCATCTGATTTCCGTATCATACGTTATCCCAGTTTAAGAAGATAAAAAAAACGGGCGCGTATGACTGGCGAAAAAATATAGATAATCGAATGATGACCGAAGTTATCACTTTATTACATTACATCTTCCCTATAAATATGTAGGTATTGCTTAATGCTTGCTTGTTTTTTAAGGTCAGCCATCCATCAGAAATAATCATAAATAATGTATCGATAATGTAGATATTATTATTTTACACTTTATGCAATATCTAAAGACCTTACGTGGAACAATAATCTTAGAGTAGAATTATCAGTCGTGATCCCTGAGGTCAGTAAATAGTCGGTAGAATAACTGAATTACAGCTCGGTACCAACAAACAACAATAATATTATTTCGTCACCTTATCTTTATTATCTTACGCACAGACTGGTTATTTTAGGTACAACTATCAAGTAAGTAGGTAGATACACCCATTACATTGTATTAATTCTAATATTATAATGAGTAAGCGTGATACCATTCCAAACAGAATCCTAATTTCATAATCATCATCATAATCATCAGTATCGTCTGCGAACCTGACTTTATTATTTTAAGAAAATTACTATATTTGCTGTTTTGATTCGCATCATTTTCTTATTTCTTTCGATTAATTAGGGAACATTTCTTCTGATCTATGCAAAATACCTCAAATTAGGGGAAACAACTAACTTAGCATCACTGAACATTATGCCTATTTTTCCAGGGTCGTTAAACAACTTAAAAAAAATCAATTTCCAATCACGGTTGCCAACCTTAAAACTTTTTGCTTCGTACCACAGATATTAAGAGAATATTAAATACGGGCATATTATATACATAAGAGAATATTAAATACATTACGCAATTTGGGACTTAAAATTGTAATAATCGTAAGGGAGGGGGGAGGGACTCTTGCTAATATAGACCAATCAATCCAAGACCAATCTTGATCTGCCGAAACTCAGTTTTATTCTGTTAATTTAATATGCGAGTTGCATATAATCAACATAAAATATTGAAGAACTTACTAAAAAAATAAAAATGATCGCTATTTTGTGAATAACGCTTATCTGACGCGAAATTGTTTTTATTTCGCGATATCTATATATATTAATAAGGTTATAAAATCTATATATACAAAGTCGACTGCAATTGAGACAAAACAAGTATTATTAGAAATATAGAGCTAAATACTATCTAGACAATGGAGGAATATAATGACTAAGAAACTTGTAGGTTTTTGTGGATATCTTTGTTTTAGCTATTACTGTCGCCTTGTAGCTTACTTTACAACATATGTGTAGGTGGAGGTGTGACATGTTACAGGTTATGGAGAATTGACAGGTACAGTAAATCATTCGGACCGGCAGAGTACCGCATAAAGTAGAGTTTTTTTAAAGGATGATAATGGAATTGTGCACTCGTCTGTACTAACGAAATAGAGTAGTGTTTGTAGTACCAGAGTATCTAGTTTACCATTCCAGTTAAATAAATAACTAAAAAATTAAACACAGCTTGGACAAAATTATAATAATAATAATAATAACCCTGGACAATTCACACAGCGTCGCTAGTCCGAAGGTAAGTAGAGCTCGTGTTATGGGTATTAGACAACTGATATAAATACTTAGATATTTTTTTTTTCGTAAATACATACATAATATACATAAAAAAACACCTAAACCGATACAGATAATCCTACTCGGGAATATAAGTGTTTGCAATGTACGAGGAATCGAACTTGCGACCATCGGAAGTAAAGCGGTGTGAACCGCTAGACCACCGATGCCGTCGTTTATATTGTACTTACCGGCAGATTGCAATATATCGAAAACTTTTGCATTGGTTTGGTTAGAAATTGCTGCCTTCCCCTCCAGATCGTGAGCCTTAACACCATCTCCAGCTGTAATTCTATCTTTGTTAAGTAGCAAGCAGTGGCCAGGCGTGTCTGGCAAATCGTAGACCTGTTTAGTTTTTCCCTCGATAATAAGGTTCCCGAGTTTATAGCCGCCGACTGCAATAGACATTAGAAATAGGTTAACATCTGTAAAATAAGAGAAATAACTTTCTCTTATTAAAATTATTTATCATTGTAATTAGTTCTCATTGTAACCATATTATTCTGCGTTTCCATTAATTAAACTACATTATAAGAAACAAATACAAAACGAATGAGCGAATCCATTAGTTTCATATTCACTATTTTAGTGCATTATTTTAAGTCCGGTGAAGCTGTAAAGGCCAGCTGCGGCAAACAGCATTAGAGTAGTCCGAAAAACTCTGTTATGAAGTAGGAACTTCATTCCGAGGTATTACCAACTGTGTTCTTGGACATCTACAAGTAGCGTTAAAACGTAAGTACGTTTATTACGTTATAGACGCCCTGTATACCATTACGGCTGTATACAAATAGGTACATGCCTCTAGTGAAAAACTGTTAATTTGAAATTACGATACTTCTTGGAAGTTTCTGTTTTTAAATTCACAGAGAGATTGTTGTCTTTCTGCTTGTAGTTGTTGTATGAATATATACGGTCCTTACATAATTTTTTTTTAACTGTCATCCTAATCTCTGAAATGGCGGGACCGGCGGGTATAACGGAACGATGAGGTTTTGTCATTACCAGAGAATTGGTAATTCAATACAAATTAATTTAACAATTTTTTTTTTAAATCGTGTAGACCGAACATTAAATAAACTGGTGATCGAGAAGACCATTTAGTGTATGAAATAAATAGTAAACAAGCAATCCTAGACACAGATCATAAAATATATTTTCTGCCAGTTGATTAATCTGTCGTGCAATATTATAAAATTTTATAAATGAATATTCTGCACCGATAAATTAAACGTAATAAAAAATGACAAGTATTTATATAGTACAAATTGTAACCAAGGCCAAGGTCGTACAACGTACGCTTGACATACCAAAAAAACTCAGGTTATAAACTCCGGGTTATAACACTGCTAAAGTAAATAGTAGCCGGATTTAGAGCTTTTGTATGCTTTTAACCGGTTCTTCAATTTAGTTGGGTCATACAATAGAGAAAAGTATAGGAATAGTAAACAAAAAATCACGTACCTTCCTTGGGTTGAGACATTTTTGATTTCAGATTGTAGAGCGACTGTGTGACAAGCTTGCAGGACAACGTGGATAGCGCGACAATTGTTCAGCAAAATTATGGCCTCTTATAAAGTTTTGATAGCTAGACCACCAACCACATGGCTTATTACGTATATGACCGGCAACACTGATAACAAGTTATAATAATCCAAGCTCTAGAACGGAATATAATTTTGATACTTTAACTCTTGTGCATAATGCATCTTTTCTATATATTGTTTGTTTTATTTAATGATTATTATTATATATATGAAATAATATAGTTACAGATATTCATTTTATAAAAGGAAAATATTTTAATAATAAACTGTCACTGTTCAAAAGAACATTCTTCTGTCCGTTCTGTCTATTCTTTCTTTACATATTACAATCACTATTTCATCCTAAAAACCACCGCCTATCCATAATGAATTAATTTTACTAGCATTACTACTACAGTCTCTTCGCTCTAAGCTTTTAATAATAACAATATTTTTATTACATTATCTACATTTTTGTACACTTTCAAAAGGAAATTCTCAATTACATTATATATTTTTTTGGCGTGTTGAATATATATTTTGTGTATATCTCACATTTTTTATTTCTTATCTCTGAATGACAATTTCTATTGTATTTAACTAATTAGATGAGTTGAGAGTAATATCAGTTGTTTAGTTATGCGTGAGTTTAGTGTATAGTGTAGAAATACAAGTTATAGTTTGTTAGGTTTTTAATATAGACTTTATATATTAGTATGACAGTTTTGTAATTAAACGTGAAGGTAAACTATAGTATCACGACAATGGACACTAATACTACCATTTATCACAATGAAAACAGACGAAGTCATGATTTATAAATATTCAACTTGGATTTTAAGTCGCGTTTCATTTTAGCTACAGAATTACAGTCAGTTAGCGCCATCTATGCACAGTTATAGTAAGGTTTCTGTAAAGTATCAAGATTGTTTCATCCGCGTTTCCCAATATATCTGTTTCAGTCGCACATTTAAGTTTAAATTCAAATGAAAGTATTCAATCTTCAAATATGCTTTGTTTATTGCTTCAATAACTTGTGTGTCTGCCTACGCTATATTTAATTTGAATCTTATAAACTAGCAAATCATTGTGATAATTGAAATTAATTGTTCGTGAACAGTACTTTAATGTAAGTAATAGCGATATTTTATGTTATGATTTCGTAAACTTCGCCAAAACATAATCAGCTGTTGATTAAATTTTCTTTAGTGCGTGATTTAAATAATATAGTTTTTAAACTAAACTTTTCCAAATCATCTATGGATATAATTATGTTTTTTACTACTTATAATTAAATGTTTCTTGCGTTACTTAACTACTTTTTTACGCTGATACTTGTGCACATGTTGTTATTCATAGATTTATTATCATCTATTTTTCTATGATTTGTTTTTTTAATTTAATGTCAGTGACCTTTGTCGTTCTGAGGATTTCCATTTACTATTTGTCTTTTAGAAAACTTCAGATCCTTGTACTTAAAACTTTTTTTAAGGTTATTTGACCATGTCCAATGGTATGCTTAACAGTTACCTATTTTGTAGTGTGATAAATAAAACTATATAAACAAATTGAATTATCTGATTTTATACTGAGTATACTATTGTGTCATTGAAAAAGTATTAGAAACTCCATTTTTTAGAACACTTTTAAATAAATCCCATTTAGCAGACTCACCATCTCATGTGGACTTAGATGTTTGTGTGTAAATTCACCTCTGTGATTTTGTTTGTAGTAACTATTTTAATTTTTATTGCTGTCAAAATAGACTTTTATTAATGGTTGTACATGAAATGCCATAGCATTTATATGAAAACCTAAAACTGATATGTCTATACTTGTAATGTCATCAAAATGTACAATTTTGAGAATAAAAAATTAAGGTACATATTTATTTTTGTTGTATAAAAATTGTTAGTGAAGTAACAGCATCCATAATGATGTTATAAAACATCAGTAGTAAATCTCTGTTTACTTTACTTTCTCTGTTTTGATTTTTACACTATTAAACAGTAACAATATAAATAAAATCTAAGTTGATTATACACTGGACATACACTGTGTTTATCTAAAAAAATAATATAAGATTTAGTCGATGTAGGCAAATTTGTGGGTGACAGTTTGTTTTATGTCACTTTGGAAGTTATATAGGGTAGAGGAGGACCTAAAAAGAGATGGATGAACCAAAGTTGTATAGCATATGAATATATAACTATTTATATGTTTGTTTTCTTCATCAAATATACAAGAAATGTAAATGTAATATGGACTTTATTCTCCGCATTTAGCTTCTCATTTGGGCCGTTGTGTGTTTATTCAATATACTATGTATGTTTAATAACTTAAAGGTAACAACTGTGGCAAAAAAATCTTTTGCAGATACCAAATTGTATGAGATAAGAGAAGGAAGATGATGGCTTTAGGAAAAGTAACAGTATAGATCTTTATACCTATGAATTAAAATTAAAAGTTATATTCAATAACTTTTGTTAAAAGTGGTAATTATCACTAAACTCATATAATGTTGAAACCACCGAGAAAATAGCTTCCTTGATAGGCCTACAATTTACATGCAATTGCTCTGGTATTTGGTTTATACAGAAATACTATGAGAGCAGGTCTAATCTACAACACAATATGAGACTTATTATTTATTATAATGTAGTAGTGAGAGGCATGTCTAAATTTATGTTCTCTTCGATGTAATCTTTGAAAGCTAGCCAATCTGTCTTTCTATTATACTAAGTATCAATGTACATATTACTGGAGAATGATCATATGACTAGGTAAGCTATGTAGGTCCAATTTTGAGAAAATATAATTCAGATGGGCAGCATTTGAGAAGCTCAGATATATTTTTTCATACAAATTACCGCAGTGTCTCAAGACGTTTACGACCAATGTCTGTTGCACATTGGTCATAAGTCAACATTTGTATTGACTTACGGCATAGAGACGTGGTCGCTACTATTGGCCTCATAAATAAGCTTAGAGTCACTCCGACCATAGCCCTCTCCGGCTATGTTCGGAGTTTCTCTGCGTGATCGTATCAGAAATGAGGAGATCCGCAGAAGAACCAAAGTGACCGACATAGGCCGAAGAATTGCGAAACTGAAGTGGCAATGGGCAAAGCACATAGCTCGTAGGACAGATTGCCGCTGGGGCAGTAAAGTCCTCGGGTATCGATTTCGGACCGGAAGACGCAACGTGGGAGAGCCTCCGACAAGGTGGATCGACGATCTGGTCAAGATCGCTGGAAAGCGTTGGATGCAAGCAGCGCAGAATCGATCGTCGTGGAGATTTTTGGGGGAGGCCATTTATACAGCAGTGGACGTCTTCCGGGCTGACATGATGATGATGATCATAAGACCCATCCAGTCCAGACATGATTCGACTTTCATGTATAGTCCAGATACCCTTTTGGTTACGAAGAATAAGGTCCGGTATTTCGTTAGGAACAGTTAGCTGAATTGTTGGTTCTCTAGTAGTACTTTCGTTGATTTATTTCTATTGATTTCAATAATTATCGACCTCTAATGGTGGTTAGCCTAGAACCTCAAGAGGTATTTTTAGTGTTCCAATATCCTCCAGCAATGTATCTGCAACCTAGTGTGCAAAAGAAATCATTGAATAATTGTTTATCTATTCGATGTCGTGGATACAGGGTTAATTTGGAGTGAACCTTGCTACATCTTAAATCATCTTTATTTAATGCACTTAATAGATGGCTAAGATTTTTTAAATAGTTCCTACAATAATTATTTAACCCTAAGCAAGCCTTGAGCTCTTTATTCTTTTTTGGACTTGGAGTATTAATTACCGCGCAACCTTTGATTTGTCGGTGTGTAAATCGTCCTTACCAATCAAATTCCCCAAGAATGATATTAATTTTGAAAAACTGATATTTTTCAGTAATTCGTTAGTATTTTAAATACCTTACCGTATTTTAAGTTCCTTTAAGGAACTGTAGATTGAAATCCTCAAAATTGTTACCACACACAATCAGGTTATGTAATTAACATGTTACATAAGGTATTCAAAATCTATGCGTTGCTAAAGTTTATTTTTTTAAAACCCTTAACTCCCTGAAGACATCAAATCTGTCTTAAGTCCGAGGGATTGGATATTTGACGCGTGAAAAACCAAACCTCTGTATGCAAGACAGATAGAGATTCTTTTAGTGTATATTAATAGTATGGTGCACCATGAGGGTATAAGTGGGGACTACGTGGAGGTTGTACTGATATGGTTCCAAATTCAGTCCCTATTACTCATCCTCTCCTGTTCCACCAACTAGTTTAGCTAGAGGTACTTGTTTATCGACAAATGCCTTCAATAGTTAATTACAACTACGTTATTGGCCTAGTTGTAGATATATAAACAACATGATACGATCGTGAAATGAGACACAACTGTATGTTGATTATATTACTTGCCCTTTTCCTTATACTAATTATGTGGTAACGACTAGATCAGCGAATGATCATACATAAAGGTATGATACTAACTTTTTTCTACAACCCCGAGGAGGGAAGGGGATTGTTAGTAATGTGGACTAATGATTACTAGCAATGGACCATGTTAGTTTCACCTTCACGCGGTTCCGACTGGCAACCATCATGATAAATTCCTGGTGAATTTGTCACGATATACTAACTGACTTGACCTCATATTCATCTTATCATCCTAACCTGGTGTACCGCCAGTGTAAACACTTGAAGCGCGCGAAGGTGCGAGCAGATTACCCCCTTATTTAAGTATTGTTATTTGGGTGAATTGTCCAGGGTTATTGTATCGACGGCCTCGGTCTAGCGATTTAGCATTCCACCTTACTTTCGATGGTGGCAGGTTTAATTCCTCGCACGACGCAAACATTTATATTCATGAGTATCATTGTTTGTATTGGTCTGGATATATTCTATGTGAACTATATGTATTTACAAAAAATTTAAGTATATATATCAGTTGTCTAGTATCCATAATACAAGTTCTACTTAGCTTGGGAATGCGTTTCCATATGAGATAATGCCCTACGGCTTCGAATTTGTTATTCCAACAAGTTGCATAATGAGGTTTTGTTAGATGTTACAAAATAATAGGTAGGCACTAGTTACTTTGCTGCGATCACAGGTCCGCGTGACCTCGTTATCTTGTTTCCGCGGAAATATAACCTACCTCTATAGAGAGAGTAACTTTCCTTTATGCGGTTGACACATGGAGCGGTGCAGGCTTTATTAGTGATATTTTAATTAAAATTTAGAATGGAGTGAAAAATTCTTTATTGAAATAAACTTAAATATAAGCACTTTTGAATAGTCATACATATTTTTTTATCTACCACTCATTCGGAAAGCTTTCATCACAGAAAGAATGAACTAGAAACTAGCATGTAGTAAATATTGAAACTTTTTTAAATCCTACATTCAGATATTGTTTCCTTTATTTAACAAACAAGAAACATAGCTGATGTGAAATGATATATGTCATTATAAAAATCATTCATGCAGAAATTACAGAGTAAATCCTAATCTATAATATATAAAGCTGCATTATACCTAAAGGTAATTTCACTGCCTTATCCCACTTTCTCTCTCTCGCACCCTCTGCTTGGTGTGGAAAATTTATCTATAGTTGAACAGCATATCTAGTAAGAATTCTGTGACACATTAGTTCATAGGAACTGTATGGAGATGCATAGACATATAGAGATGTCTGTGCACATATGTTACAAAAATAAACAATCTAAGTTCGTCATAAATATTAAAGAAACACTTCCAGGAAAAAATTCTCTCAACCTTTACAACAATAAGCTATAGGAGAAGACAATTTATTTTTTACTGAACTAATAGTCAACCAGTCATTGTACACAGTGTGATTAACATACTAGTTCAGCCGGTGATTTCATCCGTGTTTTCGAGATAGCCTATAATGTATCTCCTCAAATGCTAAATTTCATGAATTCATGATGATTAGTAAAGCCTTGAGAAAAGTAAATAAATTATACATACAAGAGAAAAACAAAGGCCGTGTCTGTTTTTTTAATGAAATAAAAAGATTATAGATTTTGACTTATATTACCTAGGTAAAAAAAATAGATTTTAGAATAACTATGTTTTCTACGGTTGAACGTGC